GGACACACTGGGTTGTCATTTATTGTGTCGCTGATGATGCCATGATCGTTCACGTGCAGTATTTTTGGGTGGTGTGTTTCCAGGGTCCTAGGATGTTCACATAGGAGTGCCGTTGCCGGCTCCCAGGTGACCTTCTGTTTGCACTCCCACCAGCCACCTAGGAGGCTCCGTCCAAGTTCTTGTCGACACTTGCGACTGTCTGCCTTTGGATCCTAGCCATCCTGGTAGGGGAGGGCCGCTGTGGTTTGGACAGACTGGCTGCCTCTGGAAATGTCAGCCTGGCTGGGCACTGGGGTGCATGCCTGTAATCCCAGGGGCTCAGTGGTCAGGCACCTCTGGACTCAATCCCCTGTGCAAAAAAGAAGTCAAACTGAATTGCCTCGTTGGGGTCAGGCTTGGGGCCAACGTCTATGGCGAGAGTTCTACAGAGGGTGTATCTATAGCTTCTCAGGGCACACAGTGTCCATTTGTGCCCCTCCTCTGCCTGTTAGTGTGGGTCTGGGTCACTTGGTTGAGGCAGGGCAGCCCCTCAGCTTATACCACCCTTTCTCTGCCATTCTTGTTCTACATGTATGTCCCTCCATTTATGTTTATCTCACCATCTTTCCTTCCTGCCACCACCGCCCCCCCCCCTCAGTACAGGGTCTTGTTACACTGAGCCATGTCCCAAGCCCTTTTTTTTTTTGAAAATTTTTTTTTAATATTTTTTAGTTTTTTGATGGACCTTTATTTTATTTATTTGTATATGGTGCTGAGAATCGAACCCAGTGCGTCACACATGCTAGGCAAGCGTGCTACCACTGAACTACAACCTCAGCTCCTTTTTTTAAAGTTTTTGATGGACCTTTATTTTACTTATTTTATTTTTATGTGGTGCTGAGACTTGAACCCAGTGTCTCACAAGCGCTCTGCCACTCAATCCCAGCCCTCCAGCTATTTTATTTTATTGTGAGACAGGGTCTCGCTAAGTTGCTTAGGGCCTTGCTAAGCTGCCCTCCTCCTGGCTCAGCCTCCTGGGCTCTGGAGTCCCAGGCCTCTGTGGGTGAGTCCTCAGATGCCTGGGAAACCTCTCACTCAGAGAATCTCACCCCTCTCTGGCTCGCTCCAGGGGACACTTGACCTGGTTTTCCCCTGGGCCAGTTTGCGTGTGCTGGGGTGGAGGGAGATGGGATGGGAAGGCCACTGTCTGCGTGGCCTTGCTCTCCCTGCGCCAGAGGGGGCTGAGGAGCCTGGGTGCGAGTGGCCTTGGCCCTCCCTTGGTGGGGGCCTCGGAGTTCACACCCCCGACCCTTGTTTCAACTTTTTGTTTTGATAATTGTCCAGCGTAGGCAAAGGTAGGGAGGAGAGCAGCGTGTACCTGGGCACCATCCCCCGCCCTTCCTGCCACTCTGGGGACATCCAGCCTCTGCTTAAATTTTTTTTTTTTTTGCAGTACTATGGACCGAACCCAAGACCTCGCACCACCAGGGTGGCAAGTGCTCTGTTGCTGTTAGAGCCCCTGTGGTGGTTTTTTTTTTTGTGGGGGGGGCCTGGAATAGTATTTTAAAGAGAGCACAAGACACAGTGACGAGGTCATCTTAAGTATTTCCATCTGTGTCTTCAGTGAATTTTTGTAAAATTCGTCACCCTGATACCATTGTCACAGCTCAGAACTGTTCCTGTTGCCTAACCCAAATCCATTTCTTTTTTTATATATATATTTTTTAATTTTTAATATTTATTTTTCAGTTTTCGGCGGACACAACATCTTTGTTTGTATGCGGTACTGAGGATCGAACCCGGGCCGCATGCATGCCAGGCGAGCGCACTACCACTTGAGCCGCATCCCCAGCCCCAAATCCATTTCTGATTTCCCTGAAGTACAGGGTTTTTACAAAGTCTTTGAATTAGAATGCAAACAAAATCTTTGTGTATGTGATCGATATGGTCTTTAAGTCTTTGTGCTTAATGTGTTTTAGTTGTAGATGGACACTATACCTTTATTTTATTTATTTTTTTTGTGGTGCTGAGGATCGAACCCAGTGCCTCCCACTTGCTGGGCGAGTGCTCTACTGCTGAGCCCCAGCCCCAGCCCCCTTAAATCTTTTTGAATTTGTGGTGCTGGGGTTGGACCCAGCCCCCGCCCCATGTGCCCGGCAAGGGCTCTGCCACTGGGTGCACCTCCAGCCTTGTTTTTGGCCTTGAGCTTTCGATCCTCCTGCCTCAGCCTCCCTCCCGGGTGGCTGGGATTACTGCCCTCCGCTTGGCTGTAATACTGTTTTGTTTGGCTGAGAGTCTGGTCTGGTTGGTAGCAGGTGTGCTGCGCCAGGCTCCGAAGCTGGTCCCCTGCCCACATGCCTTCCCTCTCCTTTAACCTGTCACCTGGGCCAGCAGAGCTAGGGGCTGGGCTCAGTTTGGCCCTTTGGGTCTCTGATGGATCTGCTTCCAGACCCGGGGCTTCCTGAGGCCCCAGCCCTGGAGTCTGTCTGCCTGGGTACCACGCCCGGAGCTGCCCACCGGGAGGCTGGAGAGCAGAGATGCGTGTCCCCAGGTTGGAAGCTGGAACTGAGGTGGCAGGGAGCTGGGTCCTCCTGGGCCCCACACCATCTTCTCTGGATCGCATGGCTGTCCCTTTGTCCTCATGTCTTTACAAGGACACCAGTCCTGCCAGACTCGGGCCACACCAATGCCTTAGTTTAACCTTAATCGTCTCTATAAAGGGATCCCGACTCCAAAGAGTCACCTTTTGAGGCCACACCTGTGGCCCTGGAGTTAGGGGCTCAATGCCTGAATTGGGGGCACGGCGGAGGGCTTTTCACTCCCCTGGCACACCTGTCCTCATCCAGACCAGGTGCCTCCAGGGAGCAGCCAGGCCAGCCCTGCGGAAGGGACAGGGCCCCCCAGTGCCAGGTGGGCCTCCACCAGGTCCGTCTTCTCGCCCACCCTGCCGCAGGGGAGGTGGGCGCTTCTCGCCCTGGGAAAGTCCTCCCCTGGACGCGCCTTCCTGCCCTGCCAGGTGCTGCTTGGACCCACCTGCTCCTCAGGTTCAGCACCTGTGGCAGGCTCGGGTTGCACCGGAGGTGTTCTCCAAGGCGGGGTCTGATAGAGGCCACCTCCCGGCTCTTGCTGAGCACCAGGCCCCAGGCTGGGGCCTTGGCAGGTCCTGTGTTGGATCCTCCCGGCCCGTTTTCCAGCTGGGAAAACTGAGGCCAGCAGGCTCAGTGGTGTGAGCAGCAATGCCCTTTGTCCCCATGGTGCCTGCTGCTGGGACACTTAGTGACACCGAGGGGTCTGCCACCTTTCCTCACAAAAGCCTCTTGTTCCCCCCCATTTGAATGAGTCGTCAGAATCGCTGCAGATGGCCCAGCATGGCCCGTTGTGGTCCCCTGTGGGTGAAGCACTGTCTGGCACCCTGAGGGAAGGGTGCCCCTCGGCTGTGCTGTGGGCTTTGCTATGGGCTTTGCTGCTGCGAGGGTGAGCCTGCCACATGGTCTCTAGTGACAGGTCGGCCTGCAGGAAGCGCTGCTGTGGGGACACTCGTGTGCAGTGGGCAGGGCAGGGCAGTCCTGCACAGGACAGCAGAGTAGGGCCGCCTAGGTTGGGTGGAGGGGAATGGGTGCTGCTCATGGGGATGATGGGAAAGTCGGAGCTGGGTTCAGGCCCTCTTGAGTTTCAGCTCTCTCCCCACAGCCCCTGGCAGCCGTGTCCAGCCTCTGGATCTGCCTGTTCTAGGTTCCTGGTGCGCGGACAGTCTTACTGCGTGTGGCCTTGTGCCTGCTGCTTTGGTGTGACTTCTTGAGGGTCCCCCATGTGGTGTGAATCAGTGCTTCATTCCTTCCTCCCGGCCCTGGGGTAACCCATCGTCAGATGTGGGACACTGTTCATCTGCTGTTGGTGGGCGTCCATGTGGTCCTGGGACAGACGGCCAGGTGCTTACCGCTAGACAGTTTCTTTTTTAGAGTGGACAATCTTGGTTGACGTTTACTGTGTGTCAAGCATCACTTAACAGTGCTGTGTGCTGAGAAGCTGGGTCGTCTCTCAAGGCTGAGAGATGGACGGCCTCACAGGACATTTTGGGGTCAGGGCTTCTGTTGGAATGTTGGGTGTTAGCGGGAGTTCTGACCATTGACCCTGTGCTTGCCACAACCAGGCGAGGTGGGTGCTAGTCCTCACCTGGCAGCTGGAGCCCTGAAGCCCGGGGACATAGAAATCTGTAAGGTATCCCGTGGCTGCCCAAGTGAGGCCGAGCTCACTTGACCGAAGGTTGTGCTCTCCTGGCTGATGATCTAACCCCACCCCTCTCTCCTAGTCTTTCGAGAACTTAAAGTACTGTAGTTAAGCCACACCTTGTGCCCGCTGGTGCCTGTAATCCCAGCTACTTGGGAGGCTGAGGTGGGAGGATTGCTCCCAGGAAGCTGTCATGCTGGAGTTTAAAGAATCTGTCCTCTTGATGTCAGAGTTACTCCCTCGGAGGGCCAACCTCCAGGTGAACTAGGTTTGGGACAGAAACTCTCACTTTATGTATTTTTAGTTGTAGATGGACACAACACCTTCATTTTATTTATTGATTTTTATGTGGTGCTAAGGATCAAACCCAGGGCCTCTCGCACGTGCTAGGCGAGCGCTCTTCTGCTGAGCCACCACCCTAGCCCCAGAAACTCCCACTCTTTAGAAGTGAAAAACCAGGCAAAGGAGCAGAGACCTGGCCAAGAGTAAGCAGGACTGCTGGAGCAATGGCAGTCACAGTGCTGCTGCTTTGAGGCCTCATCCCCTAGAAATGCCTCTTGGCCTTGGAAGGGAGAAGCTGCGTGTTGCCAGATCCTGCTCAGCAGTTGACCTGCTGTCCACTCACGCCAAGTTCAAGTTCTTCCCCGGGCTTCTCAACCACTCTCATTCCATCTGGGTGGCTCACCCTCCTGTGGAGGTGTCATCTCCTGAGCTCAGCACTCACTTCTTGACCAGATTAGGACGATGGTGGTGCCATGGCCAACTTCATAGAGACCATTTTCTTGTTTCTGCAGTTTTTGACCCGGCTGACTGAGAGGTTCGTGCTGGGAGTGGACATGTTCGTGGAGACCTTGTGGAAAGTCTGGATGGAGCTCCTGGATGTCCTTGGACTTGATGGTAGGTGTGGGGGACACTCAGGTGAGGGCTGTCTTAATGTGGCCCAGTGGTGCCGTGTCAGCCCTGAGTGCGTTGTCAGCCCGGCGTGGGAAAGTTGAAGGCGGAGAACCGACGTTGCTAGTGAATCTTCTCATTTCAGCAGCTGTGCATGTGAGTGACCATCAAGACCTTCACCTCCCAGGCACCCTATGGGACGAGGCATGAGGGGGTCATGCCCTCTGGGGAGTTCCCAGGCAAATCATAGAGACCTGGTTTGCTGGGATCCATTAAAAAAAAAAAAAAGCTAATTGTTTAGGGAGGGAGATTTCATGGAAAATCAGGCACTCACAGAATCATCAGGACACCTGAGGGGTCGTGGGGACCCCCGGGCCTGCTGGGGTGCAGCTGCTGGGGTTGTTGAGTCCAGGGGCAAGGTCATGGCTGGGAGTTGGGCCCAGGAGGCTCCTGCACCACCACAGCACCTGGATTTGCCCTGTGCTGCGGGGCAGGGGCAGGGCCGTGTTGCCGCAGCCAGCGGGAGTGCGGGTGGCCAACGGCCTGCTGGGCCGAGGTGCCGCGCGGTTCACCTGAGCAGTGCCAGTCACTCTCAGCCAGGAGGAGGGTCTGGGGCACTTCCGGCCCTTGCTGCCCTCTGGCGAGGATTTCAGTATTAGGGTTGGCCGGTGGTAGGGCAAGGTGGTGAGGGGCTCTGTGTCTGGCCGCCGCATCCTTGTGCCTTCCTTCCTGGGTGACTGTCCCCCTCTCCCCAGGGCAGGGTGGGTGGCAAAGCCTTCAGTGTTCATCCAACGGCTTCAGGAGCTGGCCTGGGCACGGCCCTACTACATGCTGGGTTTTATGCCCAGAGCATATGCCCTTCTCCCACTTGAGGTCTCCCATGGTGTCCCCTGCGTCAGCATGAAGCCTCTGTCCAGCTCTTCCCAGCTCGCCTGCGGGGTGCCGGCTCCCGGCCATCCTGGGGACGCAGGCCCTGGGCAGTGGGCCATCTGGGGGGTCCCTGGGCAGGCCCTCTTCCCACCTCTGCCACATGGCCCTGCTATGGCCTCTCACTCCATCAGGAGTCTGCGGTCGCCTCCGGGGTGGGTGGTCACCAGGAGAGCTGCAGGACTCCACCTAGCAGTATCCTCACAGCTTGTTCTACTAGAGCCAAAGGACACCAAGCACGTCTAGAGAGAGAAGCTGCCTGGGGAGCCCAGCAAATGCTGGCTTCTGGAGCCCCCTTGACTCAGTCAGGACAAACTGACCCCTCAGTTGTGGGTTGTGCACCTGAGGCTGCGTAAGCTGTGCTCTTCCAGTGGCCCCATTAGACGGTCAGCACCCGGGTCTGTATGGGGCTGGTCACATGGACACTGCCCACTCGTACCAAAGGCCGGGCTTCTAGCAGGCAAGCAGGCCGCACCAGTTAGCTGTCATTGCTGTGACCAAGACACCTGACAGGAGCGGCTGACAGGGGAAAGCTCACTCTGGGCTCCTGGTTTTAGGAGTTCAGCCCCTGGTGGGCTGACTCCATAGCTGTGGGCCCAGGGGGGCAGAACACCTGGTGGAATGGCAGTGGGAACACTGCTCACCTTGCAGTGGCCGGGAAGCGGAGGGTGGGAAGGGGCTCGGGGAAGATGCAGCCGTCCAGGGGACCCCCGTGGCCCAGCTCCCGGCCCTCCCACCGAAGTCCCTGCCCACCCAGCTGTCCCACCAGGATGGACTGATCACCCCACAGCGCTCATGATCACTTCACCTCTAGACCTTGCTGCAGGGACGGGAGCAAGGGATGCCCCACATGCAAACTCTAACTCGGATGTTCCCCGGGGGCTGCCCTGGGCGTGTTCAGCCTGGCCTGTGTCCTGCCCACCTGCTGGCTCTGCCTGGCACAGAGGGGCCTTCTGTTTATACTAAGGGCAGGAAGACTGTCAGTCCTGTGGTCTCGCCAGTCGGGGTGGCCTTGTGTCCCTGGGACGTGTGAGTGGGCCCTTGTTTGGGAACAGGTCTGTACAGATGTGAGCAAGCTTTGGGAAGGTCACCTCGGATTCGCTTGGCCCTCGCTGTTTCGACAGTTGTCCCATAAGAAGTGGGAAGTTTGGGTGCAGACACATCCAGGACAGGAGATGGGTGAGGCAGCCCAAGCTGTCACCAGGTGGGCACAGGGAGCACAGCTCTGATTTCAGACCCGGGAGCTCACAGAGCCCTGGCACTGCTCGGGGGTGCGCTGGTCACGCTCTGCCATCAGTCCCCAGCCTCCAGGAGGCCGCCTCGCTGCTCCATCAGGGAGCCAGGCAGCATGGGCCTCCTGAGGATGCCGTGCAGTGCTCAGCCCCTGGGGCCTGGCTGAGCCAACACAGCCCCAGACGCAGCAATCGCGTGCAATGCTGCAGGAGTCCTCGCTATGCTGCCTGGAGGTCAGCCTCTGGGCCTTCCCTCCTAGTCAGGGAGCCCTGGAGAAGAACCTGTAAGACCTACAGTGTGGGAGCATGCCCCTGGCCATGGCCGAGCACCAGAGCAGCCACCTGCAGAGGCTTCCCCAAGTTCCGGCTTTGTCCTTTCTGCTCCACTCACAAACCTCAGGGCACTGGGAGGCCCTAGGAGGCCGTGGGGCAAAAAAGTCTCCGTGCACAGAATGCTCCCTGGAAACTGTGGGCTGGAGGTGAACGCGCTGGACCAAGGGCTTCTGAGCACCGTCGGCTGGTTTCCTTCATAGTTTTTCAGGGGGGTGGCCCAGAGCAGTCCAAAAGGAGCAAACACGGCATTGAGTTTTCCAGGTGGTGGCGGATGTCTATGACCCTAGCAACTCAGGAGGCTGAGGCAGGAGGATCACAAGTTCCAGGCCAGCTCAGCAACTCAGCAAGACCCTGTCTCAAATTAAAAAATAAAAAGGGCTGGGATGCAGCTCAGAAGTCAAGCACCCCTGGGTTCAATTCGTAGCACTGCAAGAAAGTTCTGATTAGTAAAGGATTAAAAAAAAAATGGTGAAATTAGTTTTGAGAGGGTATTTTTATTAATAGAGTCAGAATGTCACCTTCTCAACTTGTAATCAGCATAGAAATCACACATTTTTCAGGTACAGGCTGAGCACCCCATACAGAAAGTTCAAAGTCAGGGCTGGGGATGTGGCTCAAGCGGTAGCGCGCTCGCCCGGCATGCGTGCGGCCCGGGTTCGATCCTCAGCACCACATACCAACAAAGATGTTGTGTCCGCCGAGAATTGAAAAATAAATATTAAAAAAATTCTTAAAAAAAAAAAAAAAAAAAGAAAGTTCAAAGTCATGTTTTGAAATCTGAACCTTTTTTCTTTTCCCCCTCTTTTGAAGGCTTGGGGTGGAACCCAGGTGTCTTGTGTGCTAAGCACACACTTGCCTACTGAGCCACACCCCAGCCCCTGAGATCTGAAACTTTTAATCACCAATATAATATTAAAATTGTGTCATGTTTTGGAGCATTTGAGATCTAGGGTACATGGACTAGGGGTGCTCAGCTTGGTGAAATCTGCGCACCTGTTCCAAAATCTGAAAAAAACTGATCCAAAACACTTCTGGTCCCAGGCATCTTGGATGAGGGTGCTCGACCCGAGCCAGGTCTTGGAATCTGGTCTGGATTGGCTCTCTGGGCACAGCTCATGGGAGAGGGGCATAGACGATGGGCAGACCCCGGGGGAAAGCCATGTGAGACGCAGCGGGGGCAGCAGCGGGGGCAGCTCACGATGCTTGCCAGCAAGCACAGAAGCCAGGAGGGGTCCTGCCCTCCCGCTGAGCATCAGCTCAGATCTTTGGCCTCCAAACTATGGGGAACTGGCGTCAGTTGCTTTAAGCCCCTGGGTTTGTCACTTGGTTGTGTCAGCTCTAGAAAGCCAGTCCAGTATCCCTGGGCTCTGGCTGGATCACAGGTCCTGGTGTTCTGTCAGGGGTTGGAAGAGCTAGGAGTGAGGTGGCCTCTTTTAGGGTTTGTTGTTGTTGTTTTTGGTACTGGGGATTGAGGTTGGGGGAAACTCAACCATTGAGCCACATTCCCAACCTTTTTTTATTTTTTATTTAGAGAAAGTGTCTCGTGGAGTTGCTTAAGGCTTCTCTAAGTTGCTGAGGCTGGCTTTGAACCCATGGTCCTCCTGCCCCAACCTCCTGAGCTGCTGGGATTACAGGTGTGCACCACCATGTCCCTGAGAGGTTGCCTCTGAGCGCATCCCTTGGTTGACATGATTGTTCCTGCTGCAGCTCGGGGGTGTAGAGGGTAGGGTGGCCGTGTTGGCTGCAGGTGACCAGGGGGTCCTGGGGATGGAATCAGGCCCTTGAGCATGCTAGGCAAGCTTGTGCCACTGAGCCACACCCAGCCTCTGCGGATGTCTGTATCTGCTGATCACCTGCCGTAGTCTTTTGGTAGCATGGCACGTGTTATGTGGCTTTGGACCTGTAGTCTGGTCCAGTGGTTCTCAAAGTAAGCCCTGAGGGATGCCAGGAGGGTCCTTGAGCCCCTTCCAAGGAATCGCTCCCTTTCCCAGTGACACCTCTGGGTTGAACACATACTTGAGTAATTTTTTTTGTATCGATCGTTTGGGCCTAAACATCCTGTGCACCTTGGTCCTGCCTGTTTGTTTGCTCTTTCTATGGGTGCTGGGCTTGCGTGGCTGGCCTTCTGTGAGGGGCTGGGCTCTTCCCACAGGCCGGCTGTGGGGAGACCTGGGGGTGCAGGAGAGTGCCCCCGCTCTCTGCTGTCGGTTCTGCAAGGCGCCTGAGTTTGCCTGTCGTTTTAATCATGGGTGCGATGAGAACGTCCCCTACGCTGGGGGGACTACAGCCTGATGCCCACAGTTCTGGAGGCTGGGAAATCCAAGGCCAGGGCACCCGCAGATTTGGTATCTGGTGAAGGCCTTTTTGTCACGGATAGCGTCTTCTCCCTGTGTCCTCGCGTGGTGGACAGGGTTGGACAGCTTCCTGGGGACTCTTCCATGAGGGAAGAGTCAGCCCCATCGTGGTCAGTCACCTCTAGAACTTCCTGTGGCCGTCATACTCAGGGTCTGAATTTCAGTGCAGACTGTGGAGGAGACATGAACCCAGCACCTGCAATGGCGCATCGTTGCTAGGAAGTGAGTGAATCTCATCAAGGCTTAGCTGTCACCAACAAGTTGCTAACCAAGTTCTAGTTTCTCCTGGTGGGTGGTGCTGGGTGGCCACGTGAGCAGAGGTTCCTGAGGTCTGCTGCTGAGGGCAGAGGGCCGGGCAGGGGCTTCCGGAGTTGCGGAGACTCCTCCTCCGTGGGGTTTGGTGTGAGGGTTGGCTCCAGGGCCAAGGCCATGTGCAGTTGAGGGCCAGGCGGTGCCCAGGAAGGCTCCTGTGGAGGACTGTGGCTTTCAGGGAGTCCTGGTGGCCCCCATGTTCAGTTGGGCTTCTGTTCATGGGAGTGGGCTCTGGGCCTGAGCCCTGCGCTGGGCGGTGATCTGATCGTTTGCAGGGGCATCAGAGACGGGGGCCCCGGGTCTGAGGCCCTCGCTCACTCTTGCTCAGGGTCCTGATGGCTGCTCCAGCATGTCCCCACATACTCCACCCCCACCCCCAGACACATGGAGCTTATTGCACCTAAGCTGCAGGACCCCAGGGTGTGACCCTTAGATCGGCAGCAGCAGCAGCCTCACCCTGGACCAGTGCAGACCTGGCACAGCCCTGCCGAGTCCATGTCCTGGGCAGGGTTGGCGGTGTGGTGTCCTGTTTTCCCTGGAGCTCTGAGGCCCCCTCGAGCCTCAGGGTGGCTGCCTGCCGTGGGGGAGAGGCCTTGGAGAGGACTGCCGTGGGCGTGGTCAGCTGCTCCGTGCAGTAGCAGGCGGCGCCAGAGTGCAGAACTCTGGGGAGACTGGCCTGCAGAGACGACCAAGGGCCACAGCCATGGCACTCCTGGGTTAGAGGGGGCCAGAGTAGTGGCCCTGTGGGGCAGGGAGGAAGCAGCTCTAGATGTGTTCCTGGGTAACTGGGAAATCGGAGCCCTACCCTGGAGTCACCTCAGCTTTGTGGCTTTGGGGAGGACCATGACTGTATTGAGAGATGTGTTGTGGTAGGGGCTGGGGATGTGGCTCAAGTGGTAGTGCGCTCGCCTGGCATGCGTGCGGCCCAGGTTCGATCCTCAGCACCACATACAAACAAAGATGTTGTGTCCCCCAAAAACTAAAAAATAAATATTAAAAAATAATTCTCTTTCCCTCTCTCTCTCCCCCTCCCTCCCTCTCCCTCTCTCTCTCTAAAAAAAAAAAGAAAGAAAGAAAGATGTGTGGTGGGATTCGGTGCGTCTATTTTCCAAATGATTCAGCCTGGAAAAGTAGTCAGTGTGGAGAGAAGGGCAGAGGTGGCACGCTGGAGGGCCGCTTGGCCAAGGCGGTCTCAGTAGGGATGTTCCTCTCTTCTTTCAACTTTCTATCTGAGTTGGGCACACAGAGCTCCCATTTCTCCGTTCCACAACCCCCTGCATGGGGATGGAACCCAGGGTCCCACCCAGGCAGACAAGCCTAGACGAGTGCTCTGCCCTGACCCCGCCCCAGCCTCCACCCCATTCCTACAGGAACCCCACATGTGAGTCACAGGCCCAGAGGAACAGAGGCTTCAGTCACAGTGGCCTAGCCAAGATGGTGTGTTTCCATCTTGTGCGTGACATTCACAAATAGGTGGTCGGGAGGTATGGTGGCTCTGCTGCGCCTCAGGCCACCACACCTTCTATTTTTTTGTCCCTTCCATAGGCAACTTCCTTTTCTTCAGGGACCAAGATGGCTTCTCCAGCTCTAGCCATTGAATCCATTCCATCAGGTAGAGAGAGGAGGTGGTAAAGGGCACCTGTCTGCTCCTTTTGTAGAAAACTTCTTGAAGTTTCCATTTACCTCCTCTTGGCAAGAAACTTAGTTACAGAGCTGTAAAGAAGGCTGGGAAGTCTCTATCTTAGGCAGCTGTGCACCAGCCTAGGGTGGAAATTGAAGGACGACTAATAGGCTCTGCCCAGTGTTAAGGCATTTTAATGCCATTTTCTTTCTCTTTTTTTGCAGCACAGGGATGGAACCCAGGGCCTCGTCCGCGCTAGGCAAGTGCTGCACCACTGAGCTGCGTGCCCCCGGGAGGTGTTTAGGCCTGTACCTTGCAGGAGGTCCCAGGAGGGCTCTCCTGTGTCTTCCCACAGGGCTTAGTGTTGAGGCCAGGGCGTGACTCACCGCGGGTCTTTGGTGTGTCGCAGGCGCCTTTGAAGCCCTGGCCCGGGGACTAACTGGCCTGTCCTGTGCTCTGTTCACAGTCTCCAGCCTCTCCCAGTACTTCAGCCCAGCCTCTGTGGCCAACAGTCCTGCGCGAGCCCTGCTGTTGGTGGGCGTCGTCCTCCTGGCCTACTGGTTCTTGTCCCTGACCCTGGGCTTCACCTTCAGCATCCTGCACCTGGTGTTCGGCCGCTTCTTCTGGGTGGTGCGGGTCCTCCTGTTCTCCATGTCCTGCGTGTACATCCTGCACAAGTACGAGGGCGAGCCCGAGAGCGCCGTGCTGCCGCTCTGCCTTGTGGTGGCCGTGTACTTCATGACCGGGCCCATGGGCTTCTACTGGCGCAGCAGCCCGGGCCCCAGTGTGGAGGAGAAGCTCGAGCACCTGGAGAACCAGGTCAGACTGCTCAACATCCGCCTCAACAGGGTGCTGGAGAGCCTGGACCGCTCCAAGGACAAGTGAAGGTCAGCCGGCCGGCTGGGTCCGCCGGCCAGAAGACAGAAGAGGAGGAGAAGAGCAGCAGCAGCAGCCCCCAAGCAGTCTCAATAAACACCGTGCACGCAGGAGCCGCTTGGTGAGGTGTCTCTAACCGCGTGTCAACCTAGGACCCGGTCCAAGAAGGATGCGAGACCATTTACATAGACTACATGCCATGTGTCATTAGTAGAGAAAATATTTTTTAAACAAAGGATATAACCCTATTAGCTGTACAGTAAGAGAAATTTATCTGTGCATAGAACATAAAGTTAATTTTTTCAAGCATTTAAATACATCTTTTGTAAGGTTTTTAAACAAGGGCAGATTGAGTCAAGTTTATGAGAACTTCACACTGAAGGGGAGAATATGCTAATTTGATCTTTTTAGAGGAGTTTAAATGCCAGTGTTTGTTTCTGCAACGTTCCGGTGGTGGGTGAGGTCTGTGCTTTCTCTTTGTGGTGCAGGACTGTGAGCTTTATTGTGTGTCCTGGTGGCTGATGTGGACTTGGTGGGTGGGTGTTGTCACTTCTAAGCGGGGCCAGTTGAGCTTGAGACTGGAGCTCAACTTCTTGGATCCTGGGAACCCCGCCAGTCCTGTCAGTCGTATTTTCTAAATGAAGAAACCATCATTCGTGGGAGCCCCGGGTCTTCCTGCCCCTGTGTCGTAATGCATTTAACCTCAGCATTTCTGGAAGGAGAATGCACGGACTGAGCCAAGAAGCTCAGGGATTTGGGACTTGGCGCTAAGCCGCCTGGTGGAGCCTTGCAGGCCGAGCAGGGGCCTGGAGCCGCCTGCCTTTGCCACTTGGGGGTGAGGCCTGTGTGGGAGAGCTGTCCCCGAGGGCGTTGTCCCCGAGGGCGTCTATCCCCTGGCCCATCTTGCCCAGGTGACTTGGGATCTTGGGGGACAAGTGAAGGCCATGGCTGGTACCACTGCACCGTCTTCCGGTCCTGCCGCTGCTGCTTCTCCCGTTCTCAGGAGAAACAGGCCCTGGAGGGGATCAGAATTGTTTTTCTGGAAATCTTCACAACCCACGTGTTGGTTGCTATCTGTGCAGGATCCTTTGGGTGGGCTCTGGGGCAGCGGGGAACACTGCAAGTGGACGGCTGGGGCATCCCAGGCGAGGCGCGGGATGGGGGCTGGTGGACTCGCCCTTTGCTGGACCCTGTCGGGCGAGGTGATGAGCCCTGGCGGGATGAGGCTCTGGAGTAGGTGGGGTTGCAGTTGCACATTGTGCCCCTCCCTGGGCCCACGCAGCCTTGTGTGGCGGTGCCTCTGCTCTGAGCACAAGGCCCCAGGTGCCATCTGGAATGCACTGTGTATGCCCGACTCTCGGAGCTGTGCATCAGTGACCCTCCCTTTTCCTTTTCAAGTACCGGGAGGCAGAGGCAGATGCTTCAGAGGGTGCATCTGAAGGTCTGTCCCCAAGGTGTCCCCGACTCAGACTCCAGCTTTGGGTTCGCTTCCTGGGACCCACCCCTGTTCTGGGGCTGGCTTGGGCGAATCTGTATTGATTGGCATCCAGTTTTGTTGTTTAGCTGTCCCCTTATACATGCAGCCTGAGGCCCTTGTAGGCCTGTTTCCTTGCGTGCGTCTGGCTGTGCCATGCGTCTGGCTGTGCCAGGTTGTGGTACCCAAAGATGGCTTTGCACACCTTGGTCGGTTCTGTGCACAGTGCTGGTGGGTCCTGCCCTGCAGGGGCTCCTCTGCCTGAGGTCATCATGCCTGAGCTGTCCCCTGGTCCAGGTGTGACATCCACCCCAACCTTTGCCCACATTCCTCCCACTCTAGAGCCATCATCTTTTTAACTCCTGGGCAGTCGGAAGGCGCGTGCCTCTGGGTGCTGGCGGGGCGAGGCCAAAAGTCACTGTGGAAAGCACACAGTGTTTTCTTCAATTTGGCCACGTATCAGCTCTGAAGCCACTTTTATAGTTTGATATACTCAAGTAAAAGATGTCTTCGTTTTTAATGAAGAAACTATCATTAACCAGTATCATTTCAGGGTAGAACATTATTTGAAATTCTGATAGAAACCCTGAGATGGTAGGTTTAAGGTTTGTCTTGGGTTTTGGTGCTGAGGTGGAACCCAGGGCCCTGCTCCTGGCTGTGTAAGCACTTCACCACTGAGCCCAGCCCTGCCCCAGCCCAGCCCCAGGCCCCACCGCCCCTCCTACCCCCTCCACCCCTCCTGCCCCCCCTACCCCTGCCCCAACCCTGCCCCAGGCCCAGGCCCAGGCCCAGGCCTGAAAATTTTTGAATAGTTTTTAGTGCATAAACTTTGCTTTGTTTGAGTACATTCCTTTTTTTGGCACTGAGGATTGAACCCAGCGGTGTTCTGCTACTGACCCACAGCCCCAGCCTCACTAACCTCAGACAGGGCCTCACTAAGTTGTGACCTCCAGAGTGGCTGGGATCACAGGCGTGCCCACTGCACCTGGCTATTTGGGTGTATTCTTAACCCCACTCGTGGAACCTTGTAGAGTATCTGGCCTCCCCCCAACATCTCTTTCTTTCTTCTCTCTTTTGTATGTGAAAAAATGTATTTTTGTACCATAACTCATAGCCTCGAGGAGAGACCTTTTTATACCGTCAGGCCTGTAGAATATATTAGTGCAGCACTTCACTGAATGTGATATTAAAAAAAAAAAAAACCGTTTTGATGGCAACTGCTACGACTCTGTCATGATTAAGGGTCAATTTTTTAAATATTTCAAAGTTAACCAGTGTTTATTTCCCAGAGCTTCAGTATCACAGTAAGTACTCGCTTTACCAAGGACAGAAAGGAGCCCAGGAAAGGAAGAGGGGGCCACCTCTGGAGCACTGGGTCTGGGTGGCCACCTGGGTGGGGCATCTGGAGCTGCTGTGGGTGCAGAAGCCTGGCCCAGAGCGCTGCCCAGCACCTGGTGGCCTTATCCAGCTCTTGCTTTGTGCGTGGCTCCCTGTGGTCTCTGGCATTGAAGTACAGCCACGGGGCGTCTTGAAAACTGGCCTAGTGGATGGTACCCAGGGCTTCCTCCACACCAGTGGTTGGTGATAGTACCTGGAGGTGGCTGCCATTGGAAAATTTTAATATGGGTCCCCATTAGGCCACATGGGTCACGACCAGAGGGATGGGAAACTGGGACGGGCCTGGGTGCTGGCCAGGAAGTGACCAGATGGGAACTGAGAACATGGGGATTGGGTGAGAGGCCAGGAGAACCGTAGCAGAACTTCTTCAGGGACAGTGACACCTGCTCCGGCCACTCGTTGGTCCTGGGGTCAGCGGGCCTGCAGGGGGTTAGGAATGACTCATGGAGATGACTCTCCATAGCGTCTGGGGACAGGGCTGTGCCTCGTGGCCAGGGGCATCCTGAAATGCTTCCTCTCCGCAATCCTTGCTAGTTTGTTTGTTTGTTAGGACCTGGGGATTTAACCCAGAGACAATTTACCACTGAGCCACATTCCAGCCCTTTTTATTTATCATTTCAAGACAGGGTCTAAGTTGCTCAGGTTCTCACTGTGTTGCTGAGGCTGACCTTGAACTTGTGATCTTCCTGCCTCCACCTCCTGAGCTGCTGGGATTACAGGCGTGTGGCACTGTGTGCACTTCTTGCTAGTTCTTAAGATGCCTTGATGAGTGACATCTGGCTTCCAGGTAGACACTGATAGTTTCTCCTGGTGGGTTTTGAGTCTGCCAGTCACAAAGCCAGCTCTTGCCATCCATCTTGCATTAGAGGGACCTCCAAAGTCTCCTGAGTGTTGAGCCACCCTACCCCTTTTCGCTTGCCAGGCCGTGGATTTTTAAAAGGCATATTATCATCCTGGGGAACTTTTATTTTTGGCTCTTTGACTGCTTGGACTTCTTGCTATTTGCTTGTGAATAGCTGAATTGTGTGCTTTTTACAGGACCCAACACAGTCCCCTTAAAATTGTCAACGTGGAGTAGGACCTGGTACCTGGGGCCGCTCAGCACCCTGCATTCCCATAGGTGGCCATGCCCCAAACCAGTTCTCGGGTAGCACAGAACTGGTTTGTGGTTTGCCCAGTCGGCTGAACACAAAACCTTGAATTTAAGTGTTCAGTTGGAAATAGGTTGCCAGGTAAAACAGAGAAGGGTTAAACTTGATGTTGCCAAGCACCCCCCCCCCCCCCCCGCCGTCTCTGCAGCTCCTGAGGTTTCACTGTAGTTCTCCACAGCGTCGTCCCTGTGTCCCTGTGACTAGATCGATTCCTGTGATGGTTGGGTGCATGCCTAGGACCTTGCCAAGTTCTCTCTTCCCAGCTGGAAGCCCCACTGTGTGGTGCCCGCCATGGCGCACACTCGAGGTGTGCTGTCTGGTGGTCGGCTTTCTGTGCGCTCAGTTTGTTTGGCACAGTCTGCGTGGTCTGGTCTGTGCGGCGGGAGGCGAGCCCGGCCCGTGTGAGTTCCATGTGCCCTGGGAGGTGGGTTCTACTGATCTATAGATGTAAATGTTATCTGGCTTATTTTTTCTTTTCTTTTTTATTTTTTTTGCAAAGTGATCTGTACATTCCTCTTATTTATTAAATCACTGGCTTTGGTGTTATGTGGAGAGATTTGTAGATTGATTTCAGAACAGAATTAAAATATTGTGAAAATTACATCTTAATAAATGTTTATTGTAATTTGTTGTATGGACTTTTTAATTTTTTTGCTACCAGGGATGGAACCCAGGGGCGTCTAACCACTGTGCCACGTCCCCAGCCCTTTTTATTTTTATCTGGAGACAGGGTCTCATGAAGTTGTTTAGGGGCTTTCTGAGTTGCTGAGGCTGGCCTCAAACTTGTGATCCTTGTGCCTCAACCTCCGAAGTCACTGGGGTGCCAGGCCTGTGCCGCTGTGCCTGGCTTGAACTTCTTAAATATACTTTGGCACATTATCCAAGCATTCATGGGGTTCATCCAATTTGAATGTGTTATGTCAGTTCTCTGATTTTATTTCCCAATCTGAGAAGGGTCACAAAACCTTGAATTTAAGTGTTCAGTTGGAAATAGGTTGCCAGGTAAAACAGAGAAGGGTTAAACTTGAGTTTCAGATAACCCAGCAGGGCCTTTGCAGCAGAAGGCCGCAAGTCTTCATGTTGACTGAGATGCGTTGCGGCTCACACTAGAAAGGGCTGGTTTGTCTGACACCCACTTTGGCAGGTGTCCTGTGTCACCCATTGGGTTGGTAGCCCTTGCGGGGTCCAGTCTCCACCCCAGCCGGAGCCAGGGTGTCCCTGGGCGCTGAAACTCCTTTCCTTAGCAAACATTTGCAGAGAAGACTGCCCACGGCTCCATAGGGGGCAGTTTGGAGTGGTCATTGGGGTGCTGCTGCAGGCAGCCTGGGCAGTCCGTGGCTGGGAGCCCAGCAGTGTTGGGACAGGAGCCAGGATGGAGAGCGTAGCACTTGGTAGGGACAGTAGTGCTGGTGAGAAAGAAACAGGATGAGTAGACACAGTCCCGTTGCACAGACCAGTCTTTTAAACAGTTTTTAATGAGGCTATAATCAATAATGACTGGCACGTGTTCTGAGGGTGCAGCTTGCTAACCTTTGATGGACATCTGCTGGCTGCCGTGGTGCATGCTTGGAATCCCAGTAGCCAGGGAGGCTGAGGCAGGAGGATCGCAAGGTCGAGGTCAGCTTCAACAACTTAGTGAAACCCTGTTTCAAAAAATGAAAAGGGCTGTGGAAGTAGCTCAGGGATAGAGCACCCCTGGGTTCAATGCCCAGCACCCCTCAAAACAGACACGTATCTACAATTGTAAAACTTACCCCTGTTATTGGGGAGCCTGATCATCCCCCTCACAAGCCCCTGGTGGCCTTTTGTGGCGATTCCTGTCCCTGCCCCTAGGTAATCACTGAATTGCTCTTTGGAACCGTCTGTGTGTGTGGCTGGAGATGGAGCTCAGGGTCCTACACATGCTGGGCAAGCACTCTCTACACCTCTGGTTGCTTGTTTGACTCTTGTATTTGGTGCCAGGGACTGAACTTGGGTGCCTAACCACTGAGCTACATCCCCAGTCCTTTTTATTTTGAGACCAGTTCTCAAAAGTTGCTGAGGAGCCTCACTAAGTGGCCCAGGCTGGCCTCAAACAGGTGATCCTTGTGCCTCAGCCTCCTGAGTTGCTGGGATTACAGGGGTGAGCCATCATGCCGGAAACTTTTTTTCTTAAACTGCACATCACTCATGGCATCAATGATGCCAGTGTGGATAGTGCTAAGGTTAGCTCCAAATGCCACCTAAGCATACCTTGACCTCCACTGTCCAGGAATCAAGAGCTTGCAGGTGTTGGCATGGAACCCCGTTGGGAGGTTTAGCACACAGCATGGTGTAAGTCACTCATAGGGTAATCTGTAGAGACAGGAGTTCGGTGGCGCTATGGATGGACACCACATTCACGTGTGGAAGCCCTGTCCTAGTGTGGTGGTGGAGAAAGGAATGGGTTTGGACAAGGTCTAAGTCACCCAATCTCTATAGTTGTTTTTTTTTTTTTTTTAAACTATTCATTCATTCGTTGGTACCAGGGATTGAACCCAGGGGCACTAAGGCATATCCTGAGCCGCTGGGATGACAGGTGTGCGCCCTGTGCCTGGCTGCAGTATTTCACCAAAGCAGCCATGTGGAAAAGGGCACCGGCAGGGTGTGCCCTAGTGGCAGTGCACCAGGGTCTGGCTGCCATCTGCAGCAGAGGGCTGGTCCCTGAGTCCCCTGAGAGAGCAGTCTGGCTGCCCGTGGGATGTGCTGGTGTAGGCAGAACTGCTGTGGGTGACAGGTCCCCTCGGTGGCTGGAGAGGTCGCGGCTGTTAAGTGGTCCACTTGGTGGAGAGGCGCTGGCGTGTCCGTGTGTGCACGCGTGAGCGAGTGTGCGTGTGAGTGTGTGCACCTCGCAACTCCACCAGTGCTGGGTTCCGCTTCCTGCCCTCCCTGTGGCCTCTGCTCTCAGCCAGGAGGAGCCCAGGTTCCGTCCAGCCTGAGGACAAGGGAGGGGCCGCAGCCTGCTCTGGAGCATCTCCAAGTGGCCGCGACTCTGCAGGCACCAAAACATCCAGCGTTTGACAGTGTATTGAATGTGTATCTTATTTCTTTAATTTATTCTAATTATTTATTAGAATAATTATAAGATAGCAGAATTGAGTTTACTTCAAAAGCAATAAGCCCTTAAACTTAGATGTTCGCGGCTTCCAAAATACTGAGTTTTGAACATTCGAGAATAAAATGCAATTCTGGAAACGGGGGTATTGCTGTGTGAGGGCAGCCATGCGCATGAGTGCTTGGGTGCCCACGCGCCCACGTGGGGTCACTGCACTGTCTCCAGGAGAGTGTCTCCAGGACCTGCTGCTCTGCTGGAGTCCACCTCCAGCAGAGCAGCAGGTCACATGGCCCCCCTGGTGGCCCCTCCCAGGCCCTGACACCTTCTGGACCCTGCTGAAGGCCTGTCTGCTGCCACTCCTGCCACTCCTGGACCCTGGCATCCTGGCCTGGCCCTCGGTGCCCTTCTGCCTCTAGCACCCAGTCTCCACTAGATGGCATCCTCTAGTGGCACTGCATTTCTGGGTGTCATTTCCCATCCTTGGTGTGGACGCCTACTTCAGTGGCTGCCAAAGGGGGCAATGGTAGTCGCAATGGTAGTCGCTGCTGAGATTTAAAATCCATCAGGTAACCCCACTTCCGGACCAGCCCAGGACAGACGGATGGGCAGACTTCCACAGGACACATTTGAAAACCTACAGAGTGTTGAGCAGGAGAGAAAAAAAAAAATCAAGGGAATGAGGATGTCCCAAGTGGAGAGGCACTGTCCCTTTTCTCCTCTTGTGCTTTAGAGAGTAGAGAGTCTGGGGCCATTTCTGGGGCCACTTGGTGCTGTGTTGGATTGGCCGACCTTGACCAGCGATGGAGAGCTGGTCAGGGGAGGTGGGAGAGAAGTTGCGAAAGGCCACGGTGGATGGCCCTCCCCGCCTGGGGAACGTGAGCCTGTGAGCCTCCTGTTTTCTGGATAGAATCCAACATTGTGGCTTATAGCGGCCGTGAACTTAGCCAGCTGACTGTTTTGTGAAGACAGTCTCCCGGGCCCATGGGCACATGGCTCGCTCATCATCTGGGCACCACCTGGGTGGGTCTCTGGTGCAGAGAGAGTCAAGTGGTCCCAACAGGGCTGCAGAGCCTACCGTGTGTATCTATGACCCTTTACAAAAAATGTCCACGGCACCACCTAGACCTGCATGGCTAATGAGCACCTGGAGTGTATCCAGCACAAATGAGGACGTGCTGTAAGCAAAATACACTGGGAGTTTCCAAGACACAGTACCAAAAAATATGCAAAAAGATTTTTTGTTGTTTTTCCAGGGATTGAACCCAAGGGTGCTTTAGCACAGAGCCACATCCTCAACTCTTTTTATTTTTTTTAATTTTGAGATAGGGTCTCACTAAGTTGCTGAGGGCCTCACTAAATTGCTGAGGCTGGCTTGGAACTTGTAGTCCTCCTGCCTCAGCCTCCCAATCACTGATATTACAGTTATATGCCACTGTGCCTGGCTCATCTGCTCCTTTTTAATTGTTAAGCTGCTAGAAGGTCTTACTATGCTCAGGTGGCTCACAGTGTGTGTATCAGATGGCATTGGACTAGATGAACACCACGAGGACAGAGCCCCATGTCATAGCTTCAACTTCAATCCCTTGGGCTTAGGAGTTGAAGCAGGGTCAGAGCAGTTTGTTCCTCTGCCATTAGAATGGTCCTTGAGGAGGGAGGGAGCCTGGGGAAGTCACAGGTGCTCTGTACACACTAGTCCTGAGTCTCAAGACTTGGGACAGTCATTCGTTTCCACAGTCCGAGATGTGCTTGTGTCTGTGCCTGGAAATATTCTCATCCTGGGATAATTTACGGGCAGCCAGAGTCCCTTACCCCAGTCCACCGTTGCTGGCCTGACTTCCACTGCTGCTGTGAGTGGGAGGGAGCCCCGTGGAGTACTGGCTGGCTGGAAAGATAAGGGGAAAGGTTCCTGACTCTGAGGGACAGCAGGGCTCTGAGCTCTGGCTCTGCTCTGCCACTTGCTGAAGTTGCTCAATCCCCCGGCTGAGAAGGGATCAGCTCTACAGCACTGAAAGGCCAGCCCAGGCCAGGATGAGAAAGGCGGCCCAAGGTCAAGTGGCTGGTCCCAGGGAACCTGGGCCTGCGCCCACCCTTGTGCCAACTCCCTAAGGCAAGACAAACTCCGCCCTTTCTTCGCTCTCTCCCAGGAGGCGTGGCTTCTGAGAGTTCTTTTAACACTTGTACAAACTGTGCACAAACCGTTGCCATCAGAGCTGGAATAGCATGATCTCCTTTGTCCTGCAGAGGGGCTGCCAGGGGTAGTGAGAAATAGTATTTGCAGTTACACAGTTTACAAAAAAAAAAAAAAATCCATTTAAACTAAACAACACATCCCTGTTTTGTCTGGGACTAGAGAGGTTAAGTGACCTGCTTGAAATGGCCCAGCAAATAGAGGGCTGGGGGCTGGGATGGCACCAGCAGCTCTGGCTTCAAACCCTGCTGAGGCAGAGGCCAAGTCCAGAGGCTCCCTCTGCTGTTAAGATTCACATACCTTTAAAGAAAGGATGTACATATAGCTGTTTTCTGACAGCAGTTTAATACTTTTAAATGCATAT